TCTTCTTCTTCTTCTTCTTCTTCTTCTTCTTCTTCTTCTTCTTCTTCTTCTTCTTAATATTTCTTCGATGCTGCAATCTACTTAACACGTTTCCGCCCCCCCCCCCAAATTCCCACCCGTCTCCCATTCTTCCCGATTTTGCTGCTGTATTTCCAGGATGTTCCCAGTACCAACTGCTGAACTCCAATCTCCTCCTCCCTGGTCAGAAGTTGACTAACCTGGAAGTTACCTATTCAGACTACGGACTGGAAAACCAAAACGCTTGGCTCTTTGTCAGAGGTCAGAGCACACATGAAAATGGAGGAGTGGTGGTTTGGGGGGGGGGGGAGCTCTCGTGGTCTAGAGGTACGATGCTTGCCTTTCATTCAATAGGTCCTGGGTTCGAAACCTGAAGACGACGGTGAAACTTTCCTGCTCTTTAACCTTGTTCTGTCGTCTGCTTTCGTCTCCACTTTCTGCCCCCTCCCCTACCCCCCACCCCTTCCCCCCTTTCCCTTTTGCCCACTTCTCTTGGCTCCTAACTATTTCTGCTGCCTTTCTGATACTATTCCGTGGTTTCTTCTTACTGCTGTTTTTCAGCCACACCCCTAATTAGGGTGAATAAGATCTAACGCCTAGCCTTCTCGGATAAGGGCGAACATATCTCGGAGGTCCCGTGTGCAAGTTTGACACATTAAAGATTTTTTGATGGTCCTCAAATCGATAAGAGTAGGCTTCGGCTGCCACTCGGGCGAAATTCAAAATTAAATCCTTGTAAACTGAAAACGTTTAATGTATCCAGTGAGCTCGCATAACCCTATTAATATGCAGTTGCCAGCACCGTATACATTTACAGAATAAATAAATAGATAAATAAATAAATAAATAAATAAATGAAAGACAGTCGAACCAGCTCTAAAGGACACCTGTATAAGAAAATCACTTAATATACAAACGGCCACTTCCCATTTTCACCTTTACGTTTTTTTTACGTTGTAAGTACACTGTGTAAGAGGGCCACTTTGTCTAACACGGCCACTTTTCTCCTCAGCAATGGATGGCCATTGTTTTGACTGTACTTCTGTAGTGGCGTTAGATTATTATTCTTTTTACCGGCGCCTGCGGTGAAACGTTAGGGTTTTTTGGTTTTTGTTTGTTTGCTTTGTTTATCTGTGGGGGGGGGGGGGGGGTAAGTGTTTTACGGCGCTCGCAACTACGTCATGGCATATTATGAGCACGTGGGACATATTCAACATTTATGACGAAGCGGTTGGGCACTTTACTTTCGCAAGCGGGGGACCCGAGCTTGATTCCAGAGAGACGACACAATTTTATTGAGAATCTCAGTCTTTCTTCGGGGATGTTTTATCCCTTTTGGTCGTGGTGGTTGGCCTTGATAGACAACGTCGAAGCACACCGCCTAAAAAGATCTAAATTGTAAAAATATCAAAAGACATAGCCCCCCCCCCCC